AGGAGACTACTGACATTTTTTTTGATTGCTTAAAAAGCATCAACATATATTCAAGAGGTAATGAGAAGAGGATCCCTAGGAGGATTGTAAGACAAATACTTGATGGACTACTACTGCAGTAGCTCACAGGCAGAGACCTTGCTACATTAAGTCGTTAGAGCCATAGATGTAATCAATCCAGATGGATTCTAGATGTAAGTAAAAGTGCAAAAGTTCATACTGTAGTAAGATAGTGCAAAATAAGATTAAAATTTGAACAGTTCACATCCTTTATGAAAAAAAAAAGAAAAAAAAAACCCAAACAATCCCAAAGATGGAGTATGTGTGTTGGAATTCCCATGTAAGTTAACAAATGACAACATTTAAAATCATTTGAAATCTCATCTTTTGAATCTCTGTTAAAACCTGCTAAAATTGCTAGTAAGTAGGGAGACAAATTATGGATGGATAGATATCAGAAATTTGGCAAACTTCATCTCAGTAGGCATTCTAAGAACTGTAGAGGGAAACTCTGCTTTGAGGTCATGTAGGCATAATAATCAATTCTACACAGCTTTACACATTCCAAATCTACTGGGAAAAACAATTCTAGATTTTTTAAAGTATGAACAAGAACAAAGTTTCAATATAACCAGTTAAAACCATACAAATAATATGCTAGTTTTGAAGGGAGGAAAGAAAATTTTTAGAAGAAATAACTGAAACTGCTGCTTGATATATCTGTGTAGAAAAACAAACGAAAACTGAAGAATTGCAAATCTCTAGGGATCTCTTCAATCTCCAGGAAACAAGCAACAGAGATATTATAAATCTTGCTGTTGTAACCAGGCAAAAGGCTATGTTTCCCTATAGCTGAGGAGGAGTCAGCTTGTCACCAGTTAACTAGGATTTGAGTACATCAGGTCACCATTGACTTCTCCTGTTTGGTAGGAAGTAAGTTTTGGGAAAATGGGAAACCATATCTGACAATATAAATGTTGTAGCTACATGGCCTTTGTAATCTTTGTGTGCCTACTGATGGTAGTGAATCTACACTACTGGAAGATCTAAGACAATACCTAGGAGTTTTACCCTCTGGTGTTGTGTAGCCTTCCTCTCCACACACCTATAAAGTAGTTTTGAGGACACAAAATGTCGAGAAAGTCCTGACAGCACATCCCAGTCAGGGTGTGCCAGCACAGGGCCAGGAAATGAGAAGACCAGGTTGCGAATCAATGTTAACAACATCCCAATTCTTCCTAAGTTTCAAGGGAATCTACTTGCTCAGTCTGTATATGGGGTAAACCCTCATGGTTATAAATGATAGTAGAGACATTACATAATATTCATTTTGGATATGGTTTTTGGAAAGTAGATTATCCTGACAATTTTGTGTACCCGAGTGACACTTTTTCAAAAGTGCTGATACCTGCAAAGGTCAAAATTACTTCAGACAGTTGTGAAGTTGCCTTTCTTCTGATTTGGTTCAGGCTTCATAGGTTGCATTTGCAGGCTGTTCTTGCAAGAACGCCATTGTAATACAAGTGGAATTTCTAGCATCTGAGGTGAGATTTGTAAAATGTGAACTGAAAAGAGCACAGGCAGAGTTAAAGCAGGCAATGATTGATTTAGTTTTCTAAAACAGGGATCCCCTTTCAGAAGTTTGGAAGATGAATCCAAGAATTCAACCAAGTGATTTGCTGAGAGGGACCAGCCTCCGTTCCAGATGCCTGCTGAGTCAAGACTACCTGGTAAGTCTTAGGCAAGATTTGGTTGCAGCTGAAGGAAGGGCTGTAAGTAAACAAAATAAAGTACATCAGACTAAGCTGTTAATACTGGCCTGTGTTTTCAAGGCCTGACCAGCATCAGGACAGTTAGGTCATATGCATTATGCACATTTGGACTGTATCTGATGCACTCCCATAAAGTCCATCAGCTTATTCACTATAGCATGCAATCACATTCCCATTTGGGGATCCTCCTGTACTAGGTACGGCTCATAACCTGCTGCCCAGGTGCTTTTTGATATTCAGGAGTGGGAGAGTAGCTGTGGCATTAGCCACAACCAGGACATGCATGGGATGGAATGCTGGTGTGAAAGGAGCTTTTTAGAAAATGCTTTCTCTAATTCAAATCCCACAAGGCAGCTTCTCCACTTTGTGTCCCCCTGAACATGGCTCACAGGAGGAGTCTCCTGCATCAGAAAGCCAAAAGAGTTGTAGTCAATGATTATAGGGGAAAAACAACTGCTGTACTTTTTAAGTGGTGGTGTACATATTTTTTTCTGATTAGAGATGCTAACTTCATCTGGAAATTCTTGTTGAGATCAATGAAAACAAAAAGTAGCATAGGACCCTTTTATGCTGTATGAAAAGGCAGCTGCTGAGACAATAACTTTGGGAAAACCACTAGCTGGCCAAGAACATCTACATTCAATTCAATATGGTTTGTGTTACTACACAAGCACTATAAAAGAAAGTATTTTAATACGTTGCATTTTTTACTTTGGACTTTGCCCTTACAATTTATATTGTTACTGTAATCCTGAATAAAAATGTTGCCTTATATGGTATTCCTGGATTTCACTTACTGAAGATGGAATTACTTTACTGACATCAAACTGAATCATGGGTATTTTCTAGTTATCTGTCTCAAATCATAATGGCCTGAGACTTGACATTTGGGATTGTCATGATAATACTTCTCAGGTGCAGAAACAAGATCTTTTTTTTAAGATCCCTTCAGCAAGATTCATTATTTGTACTGTACCACTGTACACTCTTTCACTATACCATAAATTCATTTTCCAATACTGGTATCAACAAGCTATGATTGAAACAGCCCTCAATATAACAATGGTGTCTGAAATGCAATAACCAGTGTAGATCTGAGATCTGTGGACTCTGTTGCATGTAATGCAATGTAATCTTAATGGAATGTAATCTTAGCCATGCAGCGCAAAGTAATTGTATGTCCAAAACTTCCCTAACACCTTCTGCAATCAGAGGAAAGACTCCTACTGATTTTCACAGGCTTGTAGTCCAAAGCTCCTGGGAATTTTATTGTCCTTGATATTTCTTTGGCAGGTTTTGTTTGGGCTAAAAGAAATTAGAAAAGTGAAAGTGTACCTATGACTTTATCTGCCCCTTTTCACAGCCTTGGGGTGTTACTGCATGTATTCCTCTAGGTTATTTCCCGTTACATGCTGTGTGTGCAGGCTACTCATATAAATATGGCACTTGTTGGTTTAGTGGCACAATAATTTGTAGCTTTGTACTGCTTAGAAGATGGCAAACAATTTCAGCACAAATCTTCAAAGGAAGCTTCATAATGGGGCTGCAAAGCAATGTGCTCATTTCCATTTATATTAGGAAACCACTGGCTCGACTTTACTGTCAGCATCAAAAATCTGCTGAAGCAGATGAGACACACAACTTTATAAGGTTGTTTACTTTGTTTTAGATTCTTTTACAGTTTATTATTTCTTTGACTGGCTCTCCAGCTTCATGTTCCAGCCTAACTGCATATTTAACATTCAGATCCTACTGTTTGTGCTCAGGAGAGTAAATATCTTTAAACTGTTGCATCTGGATGTAGCAGAGGTTCCAGAACCATTGATTGTCTTCCATCTTTTATTTGTGCTTCAGTGTAAGAGTAATGCTGAGTAACATACATAAGACAGTGACCTTTAACTCTCCCCCTTTGCTCTGCAGAAAAGGATTGCCAGTGAACTCATGCAAATACACTGAGAAATAATTAAAAAAAAAACCTCAAAAAAAAGAGCTTATATCTGATTATTTCCTTCCTATGCAGTTGTGAGCAGCCATACCATCAGAGATGGCTTTTGAGGTCTCTAAAGACTTTTGTGGTACACATTTCACAGAATGAAAGGTAGAAAAGAAAGTCCTAGCTTTCATTTCAGAAACAGCCTCAAAGTTAAATTTGGTTCCTGCCAAGCCAACTTCTGATAAACTGGAACAGAGCTTTGAAAGCAGCACAGTCCCTTGTACGCTATATGGCAAATGGCCACAAAAATTATTGCTGTTACAGGAAACAAAAACTCCCCTTCCACTGCTTTTGCAGAACAATGAGCAGGCATAAAGAATGGTAGCAGCTAGAGCAGCCTCCTAGGTTATAGGATGGGTGGGGTTTGAAAAAGGGTCCCCTTGCCAAGATTCAAGAGAAATTCCCCTTGATTCTGATGGTTTTCAGCTGGAAACACTGATTTTTCCTCCTGTACTATCCGTTGCAGCTGTTTCTGCAGAGAATGCAAAAAAAAAAAAAAAAAAAAAAAAAGCTTTCTTGCCTGGAAAAGAACAGGATGCAAACCCCATTTCAGTAAATATGACCTAAACATACCAAATGATAGTGTTGCAATTTTTGAAACTTCCTTTAGCTTCATGCTAAAAAAAAAAAAAAAAAAAGATGGGAGAAATAAACTGGATTTGGGGGAATTCTGAATTCTTCCTTTGTAAGATTTCACAGCAAAAAGTAGATCTGTCCTGGGGCTTGACTCTATGTGCACTTTACTGATTTGTCAGTTTCTGTGAGTTCCTTTGCTTTTGTACAGTAGTTCAGAGAGAAAGAAGACTTCAGCTCCACGCTAATTGCACTTTCTCTGATACCAGAAATGAGATATTTTTTTTTCCAGTATCTTCCTGAAATCTTATCAGGTCTTGCCTGAATGAAATACAATTAATTAAATTCTTTTGCTATAGCTTTTACTTTAGCTATGTCACTGTTGAGATTCAAAGGACCCACTTTTTATTTATTTCAAGGGCTATTTACGTCTCTTTGGCAAAGAAATTGCAGTTGTGATAAAAATGTATCTTCCATCACATAGTGTCAATGTCAACAGGAACCAGCCCTACAGAATCTTCATGAACTAATATAATAAAAATTCAGATACTAACAAAACTGTTTCTGGAATTAACACTACGATATTTGTATCTTTATATAAATGCATAGTCTCTGAAGACTTTCACAATATCATACAACATAATACTATACAAGACATCAGCTTAAAAACAACCATTTTATTTCCTTGCAAAATTTCCCAGTATTATATCAGTTAAATTGCCTTCCTTTTGTTTATCTCAACAATTTGCTTTTTGGCTTTCTTATTCTTTTTTTCCCTATTGGCTTTAATTTAAGTGAGAAGATTAGTTAAAAATAATTGTCCCTTACTAACTATATATTAATTCAGCAAAAACTTAAACAAAAGAACAGCTTAAGTGAGACCTAAATTCTTAAGTTATGCTTAAAGCTAAACATAGACTTGTGGGGTTTTTTTGCAGAACAGGTCTGAACACGTGTACATTTTAAAGCACTTTCTTGAATCATTGTCTAAAATACATGCCTAAATCCTATATACTTCACTGAGGTTCAAGCATATTGCTTTATGTGTACACTTAACCCCCTTATCAGGATTATTCTCTGAACTAAGGCTGAAGTGTAGACATGGGAATGTTTTGAACTTTTCAGAAAAAAAAAGTTAGTGAAATAAAAAACAATTCTACAGCAATTCTATCCTAGCTGGTAATGTAACCTAGGGTGTATTAAAAAATACAGAGGTATAAAAAATACTGTTGGAAGATGAATTTGATCTCTAATAAGAACTTTGGCCTAGGACACATTTTATTTCACAGAGATACAGTTAAGAAGCTGTCAGGAACTGCCATGATGAACATCCTACTGAATGACAGGTTTATACAAAATCTGGCTTTGAGAATGGCCATCATCTAGTCCAGCAATAGTTCTTTCCCAGGGATGAAAGGAAATTCACTGCTGAGTCCCTCCAATTCAGTAGATAGGGAGAAAGAATTTCTTTTAAATTAAAAGCCTATTTATTTTTAACATTCAACAGACGACAGGGGTGGATAGATTCCTACTGACTTCAGTCATTACTGGCTTAATACCACAAGCCTACTGAAGAGTCAGTAGTCAGATACTCTCATATTTCTAAATCCATGAGCACCCACAGGGGACTGCTACTAGCCTCTGCATATTTAACTCAATAGAATGGAATTTTCCGACCAAAACAATATTGCAAAGATCAGTCGCAAGATTTGCATAGTCCTTGTTTCCTTGAAACACTGCTATTAAAAATACCACAAATATTTATGCTTGTACACGTGCGTATATATATATGGCACATGCAAGAGAGATGTGTATATATATAATAGAGAGAGAGACTTTCAGGTTCCATTTTTGTGTAACAGACCTTTTTCTAAGCATCTAGGATACTTAGATGCTTGGATGGACATAGGAGACCTGAAGCAATGGCAGCAGTCAATGTTTCAAGTTGTGTTCAAATGCTGCTTACAGGAAATCTGAATTAAAATATGCTTTTAAAATGTTCTTTGTGCTAGTTCTTTATAAGGATTTTTCTCAAGACTCTGATGGTACGTGCTCTGTATGAGTTTCTACTGCAAAATAGTAGGATAAACAGTATATTGAGCTTCAGAATGAACCAGTCAAGTTCTGAAATTGAATGAAATGGCACCTTAGTATAATGTAATTGCTCCCTGTAAATTGCCAGAGAGCAAAATCTGATTCTTGGCAAGTAGCTTGAAGAAAGACTCTTATGGTTAAGAGATAAGAATAACGACTAATAATATTTGATACTACTGAAAATATTTGTATGTGTGTAAGCAGTAAGCAGTTGGGATCAAACTGCTGTACAGAGAAATTTCTATGCAGATGGATCTGCCAGTCAGAGAGGCAGAATCCTAAACTCAGGAGTCATGACTAACTCTTTTCTGCCAGTTCTAGAGGCAGACCCTTGAGAGTTCTCCACTCATGTTCCGCCATCCACAATAGAAAATCTTGTACTGTAGTATTATTAATACTTTGTATATGTGTTCATATGTTTTAAAGCATTTCTGTTCACCTATAGATTCCCCTGGCGACTTTAAAGTGAGTATACCATAAGCATTTCAATAACATGTCATACCCACATTGCTGTCCTTCAATAAGGATGGTAGCTGTAAAGTGGTAAGATTCTGTTGCATTTTATACAGTCTGACTGGAATTTCCTTTCTAAGCAAACACTCCAAAGCATGTTTTATTACACTTCTTTTAAAACATTTCAAATTTAAATGACAACAAAAGGAAAACATTTATTGCTCTAATACATAATAGCAAGTGGATACTATTATTTTTTGTAAAGTATTTTAAAAACCCCAAGAATTAAAATATTGTTTGATGATTACAAGACTTTAGTATGTGATTATACAGTCTTTTAATCTATATTCATTTTATACACAAAATAAAGTTCATGAAACAGTAAGCAGCAAACTCTGCTATACGTGTATAAGCTACAATTAGCAGCCTGATCCAGAAGATGCTGCACGCCCTCAACACATTAACTCCAGTCGGTGTTAGAAGATGGTGAGCAGCTTCTAGGATGGGGCCCAAATGATGCACTGGGAGAATTATGTGATAGCAATGACAATATTTTAATGGATATTTTCTTCTGGAATCACTAAGAAAATGTATTTTAATAGTAATTGATAAGCACCAGCTCACAACACTGCATATGGCTGCGTCACTTGCACATTACATTTCCTCACACACTGCATGTATAATACATCTAGAATTCTCAGCACAGAGAGAACTGAGAGAGTTGTTACGTAGCACTTAGAAATTACCACAAGGAAAATGTACTTTTTAGTAGCATTTTCAACAGTGAAGTTGCAACATTATTTTAGTGACTATGTTCCTTATGCAAAGGAAAAATAAAAAGTAGTCAGTGACATACTTCCTGAAATTTTAATACTGGCTTTCAGGTGTTAACAATCTAAAGTGCTTTCATGTTTCATACATTTTAAAAAATTTTCAATTTATACAAAAAAAATCAAAATATTTATAAATTTATTCTATACACTTGTGAATGTACAATTTAGTCTATTCCTGTTTCCTCACCCAAAAAATTGGCATTGCCATCTCCCAAATCTCTCTTTTGAAACCAAGTCTGTGAGTTTGTTTCTTGAATATAAGAATCCAGAAAATAACAAATTCCAGGGATATCACTGGGAAAATTTGGTGGAAGCTCTTCTCTTGACCGAGGTGTGAACACAAAACCTGGATATTCCTTTAACAACCTAGAACAAAAATGAATCATCTTGATTAAAAATTAATCACTCACTAATTGTTTTTACAAAGTGCAGACATTCAATAATTCTTCATGTATGGCAGGGCAGAATGTAGCAGGGCAGAATCTAATTTAACATTTATATGTTATTTACTGAAAATATAAAAAATACTATTTATTTGCTAACCTTGATAACCTATTAACTTGTGCGCCAGCACAAGCAGGAGTATTGCCTCTCTTTTTTCATCTTGACAATATTTTGTATGTAGATGCTATGTTTGTTGTAAGTATTTTCAAAAACTATTTAGTATTGAAAGCTAGCTCAGATTTGCACATGAAACTGGCACCATAATTAATTTTTCAACTTAGGAAATACTGAAAAGCTTATTAACTAAACTATTCAGATCCTCTTACCAATTCTAACAATTTTGCTTTTTCACACATGGGTCCACTAAACCCAGTGGTCCTCTTTATCTGAAACACAGATTGCTAATCTGTAGGGGTAAATACTGATGACTGGTATCTAAACTTCCAAACAATTATTGCAATATACAGGAGTTGAGCAAGATACCATAATTTTATCAACATGTGGTTAGAATGGGTGTACGAATCAGAAAGAAAAAAAAAAAAAACCACTAAAAAAACCCCCGAAATTGACACATCATTCACTCAGGGGCAAAAACCATACCACAACAGTAATAATAGTTTACCCTTTAACCAAATTGCCTGTTTTCTGGGCACTTGGAGAGTTAATTCTCTCTTTGTTTCAGCAGTGTACCCATTTCAAATATTTTCTCGAGATGAATACACAGCCGTCCAGAAACCTACTTATGCCACAAGTTGTAGGCAAGTCCTGTGGTGATGAAGTGCCCAATGGTTTTAAGAAAAGACAGTAGCCAGTATCATTCAAAATTATTTTCCATATGGATATGACAAAAAAAACACTGTTGGCCAGCACTGTTCTTCTGACATGTATAAGCACTGGTGATGCTAATGCTATCTCTTGATTGTTAATGACCTAAAAGGTTACTTTCTGTGTGCCCTAAAACCTGTGATACTTTTGTCTAAATCAACTATACAAGATGATCTAAAGCTTGGCACACTGTAAGTCACATAGCACATGCTGCAGGGGATGTCAGGATCCTGTCCCAAATTCTCTGTCTGACATTGGCCACAGAACCTTGCCACAAGGCATTATCGCATACATGGCAGTGGGTAGATGCTGAGTAGGCATAAGGGACTGTCCAGGCTATAGTGAGGGTATCAGAGCTTTCTTAAAAGGAAAAAATAAATTATATCCAGCCATATCACTTTCTACTAGTAGATTCACTCTCTACAGTTCATTCTTACAAAGCTTTTGGGCACTCTGGAAGAAGCAAACATCTCAGTGGCATAACACTCAGACCTGGATCTGCACTTCAGATGTAGACTGTTGTTTCAATCACATTCTAAACAGCTTCCTATTATTTTTCCTGGCATCTACAAGACACTAGTGCTCGGTCACAAACATATTGCAAGGTGATTTTTAAGTGCAATTAAACGGATAATACAAAGAGAGTATTAGGCTGGGAGGACAGAGGAGAGATGCCGTTTTTCCCATGGAAGATGTAGAGGACCACTGCCAGCTGTCTGCATAATCATGTAGTACACGTCACAACAAATGTTGATAGACAGCCTAAGTTCCATAATAAAAGGTTTAAACCAAGTTGGGACCAAGACCTATATAAACTAAACACTGGTGTGGTTGATTCATTGCATCCTATTAATTCATCTTCCCTAACCAAAAGAGAATGAAGATGCGTAGGGTGATGTTTAACAATTCTTCAGTTCGGTTGTTATTTTCAAGAGCACCTGCAGCCAGTTTGGCATCCAGTTCACACTGAAAGCCTCATAGCTCAAAGAGGAGCCAACTATATGAGAGAAGGAAAAAAAAAAAAAAGGCAAAAGGTATACAGCTGCAGGGTAAGAAGCAAAATTGGCCCAGACAGTCCATTTATTTTAAATGTGACATCTGAAAAATAAATATCAACTGTTCTGTTTCACCCTTTTTTCTTGCTGCTGCTGGTTGCATTCTGACTAAAAATAACCATGGTGCATTCACGAGCAGTCAGAGAGAGAGAAAAAGGAAAACAAACAGCAGTACTTCAGAGGGAAAGGAAGATAATGAACTGTTACAATTAACTGCTTCAGGTGGATATTGTACAGATATGAAGCACTATACCTGTAAGTTGTTGGGCTGACATTTATTTTTCTAGGTATACTGCAAGATTCAAACTTATTGGCAAGGGTTACATTATTTCCAAAAAGGCAATAACGAGGCATTTTAACCCCAACAACTCCAGCGAAGACAGATCCAGAGTGAAGGCCAATGCGCATCTTTAAATAAAAGACAGAAAACAGCATTAGTAGGTAAAATAAAATGGTTAAAGTCAGTTTTACAAATTGTTCCTCTATTGAAAAAAAAAAAAAGAATGAGTAACTAATATAAGTTGATTTTATACAGCCTCCTTAAAATATCTGTGTTCTGGTCATCAGTGCTCATTGCGAGGAAACTAGCTGAAGTTTACCCTGCTTTGCATGTATAGTAAGTAATCCTTTATATGATATCACTCTGATAACGGTGGTCTCTGTGGTAGTAAATTGCTTTAGAAATGTCAGCAGGAGTTACTATGACACTTGGATACTTTCCTGACAGGAATTACATGACACAATGTTGTTAGACTGGTGACAGTTAATTTATAGTACTTGCTTTGCTGTTAAGGTCAGCAGCCAAGTCTTAGGGAATAGCAAAGACAATATGTCCATGCTGTAGTTCCAATTGAACTCCATTGACAACGTCACACATAGAGTAAATCCTAATCTCAGAGTACAGAATTTTGCTAATTAATCAAATTATACAGCAGTTGAAACATTTTGATACCTCTTCTTTGTAACTTATACTCAGATGTTTGAGTTTTGCTTAGCTGGTACTGCTTTCTATGTTCTTTTTTTGGAGATGTGCAAAAGCAACTAAACAAAAAACATGCTCGCTTTAAGCGTATAAAATACAATGAAATATATGACCTTGATAGGCTCTCCATGGGGAGACACCACCTCATCTGACAGCTCCATCATCTTCAGGGCCATCAATGCTATTTGAACAGCGTGTGTTTCGCTTTCTTTGTGTAAACCTCCAGCAACACAGTAGGCATCTCCAATAGTCTCAACCTAAAAAGAGGCATATTTGTTCCTTAATGTTAAACTGTTTGACATATAAAAGAATAGCCATGGCTTCAGTAGGAATTGTACCTCCATATTGACTGAGTCTTATTTGTCATGCTAAATTATTTAAGTCCTGGGCAAATCCTGCAGTATCATTCAAAAGGAAAAATTGCACAGCTTGTATTTATTGCTCGGCATGATGCTGAAATACTTTTCCTTGCTTTACATTCTTAATCTACATTAAACACCTATTCACTCCATATTCACATCACTGTCATTGAAATTAATTTTTAAAATTAACTCAAGTTTTTATGGGTTTCTGTCTTGGCTGTGTGAACAGCTGATTCTGTTGGGATTTTTGTTTGTTTGTTTTGTGATTTATCTTAATATAGCTTTCTTATAATGAAGATTGAGGGCAAAATAATTTTTTGCACTTCTATTATTCTTTGTCCCCTTTAGTCTTCATTTCCTTCCCCCAGAACCCCACAGAAATGCAGTAAGTTGTGTACCTTGTAGACATCTAGCTCTCCACATTGGTAATCAAAGCGAGTATAAAGCTCATTAAGCATGGTGATAACCTGCATAGGTGAGCACTGGGAACAAATGGCAGTGAATCCAACAATGTCAGAGAAAAGCATTGTGACATTATTAAATTTCTTGGCTTGCACAACTTGTCCCTGCCACAGCTGCTGAGCAACCTCTCCAGGAAAAATTGAAAACAGAAGATCTACGGTCTTCTTCTTTTCTTCTTCAAGTGCTTGATGGGCCTGCTCAAGGGTCGCTTTTAGCTTTCCTAACCTCTTCTTCAGTCCATCCTGAGCTCTGGCCTGCTCTCCTATCAGAACAACATCTCTCAGTGCATTATGAATGGGAATATCTGAGAGGTACAATCCACGTCCTGTAAAATCTTCTAGTCTATCCACACAAGGAGATCCCAAGAACAGGATAGCACTGGATTCAAAAATATAGATCATTTGGCCTTTAAGATCCATTACCTGAAACAGTTAAAGAAACAAGAATTCATTAAACATGCACAGTAATGTTTAGAAGCAAGAGGTTTAGAGGAAATACATTTTGCTGAAACATAGGAAAATCAGACTGGTCCGTAGTCCTCACATTTTCATTTAGTTGCTTAAAGATAACTAAGGGGTGCTGAATCTTACAGCCATCAAGTAAGTTTATTTTGCTTCAGCTTCTGATAAAAAGTTAGACCACAACTTACAGATAAACAGCTAATTATGCTTGAGTATCAGTGCCAGTTTTAGCTTAGGAAGAAAACCAAAAAGAATAATTGTGTGTATTTTCATCTATTGATAAAATGTTTCTGGCTATAGTTTGCTATAAATTTCTGCTAATAACTCTAGTATTTAGTTCATGTACCACCTTCTTTGTAAGATAAAGTGAGAAAATCTGCTTCAGTTTTATTATAGGTTGTTCAGTACTGGCTGCAATTTAAAATTAAAGGCATATATGGCAGAAATATCCCATTTTAATCTAAAAAAGGGAAGCATTTTTGTGTCCCTTCTGTATTTAGTTGTGTAATGTGCAAGGTGCTGCAGACCTCTAAGAAAACCTGCTAATTGTTAATGTAAATTTGCATACGTTAAGTACATGCAATGGCAAAGCAGAGTCTACTACCCCTTGTAATCATAAACATTTGCCTTGTACAGAAATGGATTTGAGATGAAGTAGCTAATTAGTTATACTTTTTTTTCCCACTTCAATAATAACTGGGTGAAACCTTTATTACTGTTCTTTATTTGAGTCCTTGGTGTGTTTAGTCTGAACTGGTAATTCATCCTGGAGTGCCTCAGGTGTATATAAGCTGGAAGTCAGCTGGGACCAGTGATGAATAAAAGCAGTCATTGAATATTCAATGTTTTTTACTGGCCCAGGTCATTTGCCACAGACCCAGCTTCAGCAAAGATGGTAAATAATCCCATCAACTGAAACTAAGTGGGACCTTTGGCAATTGCATCTGGTGAAAATATGAGAATATCAAAGATACCAAAGGCTGAATAAGCACAGGAAATGTCTACTTCTTCCCCCAAATCCTACAGCTGTTGTTTCCAGATGATTAAGGGGCACTTTGGAAAAGCTCTCCCCGCCACTGCCTTTGTGTTGGAGTTGCCCTTATTCTCAGCAGCATGGTATGTAATTGGCTTTATCTCAATTTACTGAGATTATCTCAATACTTTATTTTTTAATAAGATCAAGTTAACAATTAGATTTTACTTATATAAAATTCCTAAAGCATAGTCTTGACTGAATATTGGCTTCAGATTCTAAATGATATTAGGGTGCCCTCAATTAATCATTATTTTTCAGTTGTATTAGATGTTGAGAGGTAGACAATGCAAAGTGCACCATGTTTTTTGGCTATTGTAACTCTATCTAAAGAAAACAATTTCTTCACAGAAGTAATGGCTATAAAAAGTCTCTTACCATGGATGATTTCATATCAGTATTATCCCATCTTCTGACTCGTACAGTAAACTGCATGTTTAGCATTGTCATTATTCCACTAAAAGTGGAGCTTACTTTGGGGGTAAGAATTTCAAAATACTCTTCAAAATTTGGCTTAGCTTGAAATTCTCTCCTGGTCAAAAGTCTTCTTATCCCATTTCCAATTTGAAGAACTGACATATCCTTGTCAAACATAAAATGAAATGGGAAAGTCTTACAGAACATAGAGGCAGGAATCACGAGTGAAGACTGTGGTTTACAAGGAGATAAGGAAGGTTTTGCACTTTTGACTTGTATAGAGTATAGCAAGTAAGGCTGATTAGCAAACTCAGTGCAGTCATTATGGAAACAAGCAGGCATGAGCATCACTTCCACCTCAGTTTCATACAAAATATGAGCTGCTGCTTTAATAATACCAGATAGAATAAGACTCGTGATTTTCTTAGGAAAGAAATAATACACATTTAAGAAGTCTTGATCTTTCTCCAGACATAATATGGAGGCATCTTCAAGTCTGTCTTTTTTTCCTGCTTCTTGGCTGTGGCCACTCTGCTTCAGCAGAGTAGTGAAACTGTTCAAGAAGTCCTTAAGGGTTCCTCCAATAACCCCTAATATGTGTTCATCCTCTTCATAGCATATTTTGAATAGCTCTTCACCAAGAGATTCCCGTAGAGACTCCACGGGAACACCTGCACGGAACCACATTTTAGTCAGAACTGCACTCATCATGCTGAATCTCAGACTACCCTCCACTTTTTTTAATGCTAGACCAAATCAAATTAACAATATCCTTCCCTGATCCAGCACTGACACCTGAGGGCCCTTTCATTTGGGAGTCCTGCTGTTACCAAAGACATACTTGCAAAACAGGGAGACAATAGGTTGTAGTTTGGAAAGATCCAGGACTCAGTGTTCTTTGTGGAGATGTAGACAGAATCAACGTGTGTTTTGGCACAGGATTTAACCCAATTCCCTTAGCTTTGATATAAAGAAATAAAATAAGAAATGGCAATAAAAAGTTAGAACAACATAGCGTCTGTGCACACATGCAGATATAAGTACTATGCCTGATCCAATAAATTAAATGACCCTAGGAATATTCCAGGGCACTGATGCCAATTGGCACACAACAGCTCACATCTTTGCTAGTAAATATGTTTTAACAGGATAGCCACGTGCAGACTGACTGTTGGGAATGTTCCAACTCCCCAACTGTTACTTGAAATCATTTAGAAAAGTGTTATCTGTCACAGGCCAACTGTGACACATTTCAGTTCCTGGAAACATTAATTTACTATTACAGATGTAGCCAGAGAGTTCCGTATCACACATCACAGCAGTTCTCTTCCGACAGACTACAGTCCTTCAGAAGATGAAAAGGATCAAACAGTTTTTCATGAGTATAAAACTGTAAATTATTACTGAATGCATGCTACAATTCCCTCTAGATGTTGAATCTTAGGGGTGGATGATTCTATGGCAGCTTGAGAAACTTGTCTTTTTAGCTCAAATTTTGACACCGAACTGTTGGTTGCAGAGATCACAGCTTAGGCTCTGTGTTGTCAGCATCCCTGCAGCCCTTGGAGGAGCTGGAGGAACAAGACTAATTTATATATACATATATTATTTTATATATATAACATATATAATTTCTATGTTCATACATATATATATCTATTATGAAACAAGTTTACATTACCTGCTGCATTAGCGTGATCGCTGATTATTTTTTCGAAATCTTCTCTATCCCCAGTTATTCTGTAAAGATCATAAAAATATAAATAAACCCCCAAAATATCAAAATAAACATGGTAAGAATTGTAAGTAACAGAAGTTACCTACCATGTCTTCAATGTCTACAGACCAAGTTTTTTGATCAAATAGGCAGTTTTTCATTAATTTAAAATAGCGTCTTGGTAGGATCTTTAGATTATCGTGTGCATTTGTGATAAATTAAAGTTTTAGTGGTCTGAGCTCAGATTATGGATTGAGCCCAAATGTTATAGACTGTCATTGATTAAAAACTTTTAGGTTGCAACAGTCCTGTTTTTTTGTTTGATTCAGCTTTTTGCCTGAAGCCATAACTGTATTTTTTAGCGTATATAGTTTAAATTTAGATTCAAGCATTTATTGGAACTACATAGTATTAAATTCAAAAGAGGTGAGAAGGTATTTCTCTTTTGAGAGGAAATACCAATAACAACTATTAACTTCAAAGTTACTTGTTGGTTGGCAGTAATCCAGGTAGTGATGACACAAAATTGCAGCCCTCTGAGCTCTCTGAGGTCAATAAATGTCTACCTCAATGTCAGACCCAAAATGATGAGAATGACATGTAGGTTATATTAATCTCCATATAGGCAATAAGCTTTTGATACATGCTTCCTGAATTTCTCCACTTGAAATATCTTAGATATATTTACATGCAAAAGCAATAGAGACATTTAGATAAGTTTTACATTTGCATTACTACATCATTTAGAATAGCATAATAATTTTTTGTTTCAAACTAATACTCCAGGAAGCAACACATAATAAAAGACAGGGAAAATATCCATATCAATAAGCCACTCAGCAAATGCAATGTACATCTGACAGCTATCTTTGATTCAGTCAATGCATGTAAAGTGCTTTGAAAATATCAAGTATAATTTAAAAGATACATTGTACTTATCTATTCTTATCAAGGTGAGCAACAGTGTAGTTTCCAACTTCATTATTTTTCTCCGCTTTTGAAAGATTTAAAGTAAGTGCCCTATTTTATGATGCATTCAATATATTGAATCCTCAATGTATAATAACACACTAAGAAATTCTCACTCCTTACAAAGCTCAAATGATTAATTAAGGAGTGATGAAAATCAAGCTGAGTTCCTCAGAAACAGAAAGCAGCAGTTGAGTGAGTCCAGTGAAAACATGTATGTCACTATCTGTGGCATATTGTTGATTACTGTATCAGAAGCCATTTTTTTGTGTTGTACTAGTTGTTTGCATTTAAAATTCTTTTCCTGGGGTCACAGAAAGACTGGGCTAGATCCATATACAACCAAGTCTACCTTTCCATCTACGCCTGAGTAGTCTCTGAGTTCCTCCAAAACACTTGCTCATTTTAAACAAAGCCATTTCCTCTGCACAAATGGCTAAATTTGCCCATTAAGTCATCTGTGAGTGATTTAAATATTTTTGAATATTTTAAAATAAAATAAATCATTATTCACTTACATTACATGAAATTTCACACACACCAATTTGACACGATAATTGAAAACAGATTCCAGAAGTCCTGATTTCCGCTCACCACCCTAGTCCTTACGAACTGTCTGCAAAACAGTTTTGCTGTGAAGTTAGTGGTAAACCCATTGCACGTACATACCTGGTTTCTTTTATTCTGTGTTTTGCAAGTGTTCTCTGAAGTGCAAGATTTAGCCTTTCAAACTGGAAGAAAAGAAAAGGTATGTTGATTAAAATGTCATTGCTGAAAATTTAATCATAAGAATAATATTTTTATACTGAGAAGAATTGCTTTGCTGTGATTGGGACTAACATCTTTTTTCAAGATGGTATAGATGTTAGAAACAACTTGTCATTTCTGTGTGTGGGGTTAATTTATGTTGATGTCTTCAGCTCCAATACCACTATAATTAAGCCGCTCAGCTCACGTGTGCCAATGACTGTGCACTTTAAATGTAGTGATGTGCTTTACCTCCAAGTTGTCGGATGGCAATAAAGACGGTGCTGGTAACAAATAAGTATAACCAACCCAACTTTCTATTATTACACACACGCCCCAAAAGCCCCACCCTACTGTGGTTGCAAAATGTAGAAATAAATCTTTTCAGCTTAAAATATATTATCCTAACAGAAAAAGCCAGTTATATTCTGCATTATGCCCATAGTAAAATATTAAAATGTGGCTCTTCTAGGTAGTAACTTTTCTTGGAATATTAAGAGTTAGATTTTTTTTTCAGGGTAATTTTCAAAAGTGTGAATATTGGAATTGCAAAAGGTAACAGTTTCAAATGCAGTTATAAAATACCAAAATAGCATTCTGTGCTTCAGATTACCTTCTTTTCTGTTTTCAAGACTACATCATTTCACAACAATGTTAGAACCATTTATTTTACATTTGTAGGAAAAGAAGAATTTTGGCTATGTATGCTGCAAACCCAAATATCCTCCAGATGAAAATCTAGTCACTGTAGATAACCTTTGTAAAAAAAGACCCTGTGGAGTATCATGAAGATTTACCTTAATTTACGTTGATCCGATGGTTCCCTATCCTTTCTGTAGTTCCCGATTGGAACAGATACAACACTTCCGCAAATGCATATTTCAAAGTAAAGCTGTATGTAGTCTCTGATCATTCAAAACCCCAAATTCCTATCAGGACAGTGTCACAGAACACCATGATAGAATTTGGCTGTGAGGCTTGCTGTGCTCTGGCTTTTCTTTGGTTCTCTTTCCCTGAAGAAACTAGTGTTTTCTACTGCAACTTGTACTTTTTGTATACACAAAAGTACACACGAGAAAAATATAATGTTAAAGAAAGGCAATATATTCTGGAGACTTTTTCCTAGCAAAAATCTAAACTGAACAACTGTTCTAGCATTTATATGAGCCCAATGTAAATTACATCTGTGTCTAAAGAGTACATTAAATGGAATGCCATCCAATTCATTATTTATCTTCCAGCAATGTTCTTTATATTTCTGTAAACACTCAAAGAAGCAAATGAAACATTGTATCTCAAATTTAATCAACATTTGTTCTGGATTCACTATGTGCTGTGCTTCCATGCACAAATCACTGTTTTCATGAGGACGACATTAATCAATCAGGCTCATGATGAGCCCCCTGTTTTGGAGTTTCCAATTGGAAAGATGATGACATTAGTTACTGATTGTTAAGTAAGGCACTGTAAAGTATGTAAGCAATGAAAACTATGTTTTTAAACAAGCAAAACCCTTCTATGGAGAACTGGGATTGGGAAGATGCTCAGGTCTTGACGCCAAATCAGCATTAGAACCAACTACTATACTTGCCAAAGTTCCAATGAATATGACTTGAGTAACTGTAAATAGCAATCACAATAACCTTGAACATCAGTAGCTCCTGGTCATGATATCCTTGACTTCACCAAGCTTTTGTCCCAGCTGATGCAGTAGCCTATCGTGATTATATAATAGGTTGCTGCACACAGTTGTATCACTCTTTTAAGAAAAAAACCACCATTTATTTCATTAACAATTCCACGAACAACTATATACTGGAAAAGCAATACAGCAATCGTGACACCAGCTTTGCTGGTTCATTCTTGAGTTAAAAGTCCTTTCCTTTATATGTTTAAAGATCAGTTTAAAGGAGTGAATTTCTTCTGTGTAAGTGCAGCAGAGGTAGAAAGGGTCTATCAGAAATAGATAACAGAGTTTTACCAAAAGGATAATAGATGAAAAGTTGAGGAAACAGATCTGCAAATAGATTTAACCAATTCCATCACACTGAGTAAGGTACACTGCATATTGAGTAACAATTACTAATTGTAATCAATTAGTATACATGGTTGGCCATTTGTCCCAATATATACCAGTCAGTCTTCCACACTTCCCACAGAATCGAGGCAAGCCCAAATGCTGAATGTTATGGAACTATATTTTTCATGTTTTTTTTACAGAGATAAGCCATGTTATTCATCTCCACTCAAGCGAACCACCCTGCATGCACTGTACCTAATTTCAATTTAGTTGAGCAGAGACATAAAAGTACTTTTGTGGCAAACACAGATAGTAATGTTTTTTTAAAAAGTATGGCAGGAGATTAGCATCATAACAGGTGATTTCTTTTTTTCTATTTCTATTTCTATTTCTTTTTTTTCGGTGTGATAATGACTAATGTATATAGCTGTATAGATTCAGTTAGGTGAATTGATGAGGTGACCACATAATTTATGTAATTAGGTAACAAGTCAGAGTTTCTCTAACTGTATCTCTACATAAAAAAATGTTTCAAAAATACGTGGACTTAAAAGGAACAATGTAAATGATCAGTGGAGGGTTGCAAATACAAGACAAAAATATATGGAAATACAGTGGAAGGGATGGTGTGAAAGTGTACAAAACCAATTGTGGAAAAATCGTATCCAGAAAGAATGGAAGAGGATGAAATGAGGATTTAAACTATGCAGAACTACAAAAGAACATAAACTTTGGAGTCAAAACAACTTTCCAAAGGTTTGCATCTAAAGGCTTGCATAAAATGCTTTTTTAATATTTATAATTAAATGCTAGTAAATTACTATTATTACACAGTATCTATTTACCTCAGGAAAGATTAGTTTGCAGATGCTTTCAGTTAATGTGTGCAGGTACACTCTACTTCTGCTAGTTTTCCTTTGTGGAAGGTTTCCTTGGGCATCTTTTTCATGGACTTCTTTGCAGATGGGCAAAGCTGCTCTAGAGCTGTTTTCTGTGGAGTCCTTGTCATGTTCGTCAGTAATGGGACTTTGAGTCAGTAAGGAGAAAGGACATTCGCCTGTGATCTTCAAGTCTTTCAGTTTTGTACAGAACATACTGTACAAAGTCTCTCTCTTGAGATTAAGAGTACTTGGCTTTGTGTTTAATAGTTCTCTTCTGTTTACTAACAAGAGCAGAAGATTCCAGAATAGTAGATAAGGCAACCACAGCTGAAGATTATTGGTAGCTATAAATCACCACAGAAACAAATGCGTGCCCCTACAAAACAGGAAGAAAGAAAAAAAATATTAAAAACATTTGTTTTCTCTTTTAACTTCCTGTGATGTGACAGTTTTATCATATGTGCATTAAAATAATGGCTTTTCTAAGACCTTGCTCAGGAATGCACTTAAGCTCATGTGCCATTTTAAGCATGTAATCCCTACTGACTTCAGTGCTTCAGGTAATTAAAGTTATGTGCATGGTTAAGTTCTTGGTTGAAAGGGGCTCTAGTGATTCAGGCAGAGGAGTTGTTTTATGAGAAATACCTTTGGTCACATTGATGAATGAGGTTTCTGAAAGAGTAGAGAGAAGAATTCTAATGAGAAAACCTTTTAAATTCTTCATAAGCAGTTATTAAAAAACTACCTCATACGGCACAATGAAACTGATTTGTTATGGATATGTACATCTCAATGGCTCCTCGTGTTGAAGCCACTGACTGGTGACAACTGACATCGTGGGAATTTGAACACATAACTGATGTAGTTTCTTGGAAACACCAAGGAATTTTTAGGCTTTTGAAGGTGATCTCTTTCAAACATCATATTAAAAAAAGGGGCTGAACTTTTCATTTTGATAATTGTTCCTTGTTTGTGACATTTATTTCAGTAAGACTTAATCTGAAAAAGGCTCTTCCCTTAAGAGCTTCATTTTGTATTGACTGAATCAGACCCTCTTATTCTCATATAATACTCTAACAAGGTAAACTTTGAGAGCTTTAGAGACTCTGGAAGTAGCTGAAGTATTACGTTTGTCTCTCTGGAGATGCAGTACAATAACTATTTCTTTCAGATGCACCACACTGCTTATTTCTGCCCCTGAGACACAAAGGGTTTTCAGGGTCACACACCAACTGTTCCAGGGTTAAAAATAACTAATTCCCCAATACAGGTTCTTCTTCTCTTGAAACAGCTGGAATGAATGGCATAGCAGAGGAGTGCTGCAGACCCAGCACGAGTGGCACAGATAAGAGGAGAAACAGGCAGAAGCTACTCTGGCTGGACCTGCTGCTGAAAAAACATATCTGGCAGAAAAGGCCCTTTTAAAGTATGCTGTAATTCTGATGGTGTCAGGCCAGCTTCCAGGGGCCATCTATCAAAATTATTAAAGTATTATTTTAAGAATCAATAAACACAATGCTAAGAACAAGCAGCTGAAGAATGTTTATATAACATTCTATATTTCTGATTTCAGTTTTTACATAGAAACTCATTTGTTTCTACTGCATGGATATCAGTAATGCTTTATTTTTTATTGCTGCATAATGTGTAGCAAATGAGACAGTGAAAAATTTCAAGCAAGAACCACACTCTTAATACATAAATATACAGAATACTTTTTTTATAATGTAGGCATTGTTATCTATATGTAAAAATATGTTTATTCAGAGCCATTATATAACCATACATTACTTTACCAAAAAAAAAGAAAAGCAGAAAAGAACTACCTTTTCTTTCATTAGGCTGATCTGTGTACTGAAATAAACTGTTAAGAAAAATGCTAACATAAATACTAACATAAATAATGCACCATTATAAAAGGATAAAATTTATGGCTTTGATGGATCTCACATGTATAGTCATGTGCTTTGATGAATTTGGGCCCTAAATTTCAAAATAAATCTTGAACTTATAAAATAACAATACTAAAACTTTTAAAATCAAGTATACCAGCATTTTGGGGAAAAAAAAATCTGAAATATATTTTTGTGGAAAAAAAGTATAATAAAACATTTTAAACATCTCCCAGTAAATGTAATACTGCATTTATGTGCTGCTATTTAAAAAAAAAAAAGTTTCCCTCTTTGTGAACAATGCAAGACGGAATTAGATACCAACAAATATTTACTGCATTTGCACTAACTAAGAACACAAGAAGTGAATGACCTTCAGCCATTACCAATACTTTTGATAGTCTGGGTTTTTTCCTGCTGATGAAACTATTTCTCTGTTTCTAGAAGATAAAAATCTGGAATTATTTGGAGGTTCACTTCCATGGTAGCATATTGCATTTTAATTACATTACACTTGATGTGGTAGGAGAAATACCCAGGCAGGTAGAATCAGCTCTGTGAAGGAAGTGATGCCATTATTTTACTCCGGGAAAACCTGAAGTCTCTAGAAGATGCCAAGCGCGAAGGAGAGGTCCTAGAAGATGGCCATGGGCCAGGACTTATTCAGGGGCAAAATGGACATTGATATGAAGGTCTAAGAGTCAAACAAGCTGCTGGACATGCAGCTACTGTGTCTGCAGCTTCTTTTTGCAAAGCAGCCTGTCATCCTTTGTGCTGCAGGACACCTATATTCAGCCTCTTCCTGCCCTGGTGGGGACTGGAATCATGCCCTTGCTCTGAACATGACTGTGGGCTCCTGCCAATGGCTATTTATGACAAAATCATCATTGATTTAGAAGAAAGTGGAGATCCGTGATGCTTCTAGTAATACTACTGGTGTACAGAACCAGTATCAATAATGTACAGATCTCTAAATTCCAAATAATTATGAAACAGTTCTTAAAGAAAGCTTTCTGCAGAAATATTTTCTAAGTATCCTGAAGTTCTTTTTTTCCCGGAAACAAATGAAATGGTCCTTTGATAACATATATCCCAGCTCTGATCTCTGCAATGACAAGACCCCCTGAATCATATCTTTAAAGAAACAAAGTGGAAAACTTTCCATGACACTTCAGGGAATTCAAATACTGAAAAAAACCCATCCATATACTAGGTCTTCCTGTATTAAAACATCAAGTTTGCATGTGGTATCCTAAGTGCATTTTGCACTTAATATATCCAAAATGTAGAAAAAAAAAAAAAAGCCTATTGTGTTATAGAAAATCTGTCTCACTCAAAGGGTAATTAGACAGTGGTTTTAAATGTCTGACAGGGGAAAGATAATGAATTGCCAGTGTAGAGTTTACAGAAAGAATTTCAGCAGTATAATGGACTTCAAAATGTATGAGAAAGATGATGGCACACAACGCAGATTAGGTCAAACATTTCCAGATGTGTTTCAAGAATGAGGAACAGCAGCCCTCCCATTGTTCACAATGTTTAAAGACATTTTCTGACCATAACAAAAAAATAAGAAACATGAGGAAACGTGGGAAAAGTTTCTGGTTTTAATTCCTTTCCAAACATGCTTTGAGAGAGCTCATCCCAGGGGAGCAGCAGTGTTTAATGTGAATTCTCCATCTCTGCCATATTAATTGCTGTCATATTTACCTTGGGAAGAAAATTAAAAATTAAAATTAAATAATCTTCTGTGAGATCAAACTACAAGCAACCAATTTATTCAGTGTCTGGCTGAATGCAACATGGCACTGTGCCACTCAGAAATATGAAAATGTCTTTACATAGTATAGTCATAGCAGCAGAATAACTTAACAGTGCTCAAAATGCTTTGTGCAAACATTTCATTGTATATTTACATCTACACTTGTGTTACAGCCAAAATGCCTTCCTGCATACTTATTTGTACTAGTTGCTTCTGAATATTTTCCTTTGCTAAAACATTTCCTTGACAATGCCATGAAATATAGTGCAGTGAATCAATCATAGAGTAAAAGCCCCTGATATTAATATGGCCGTTTATAAGAATTCAGCAATACCACTTGTTAACAGTAGCTAAAGGAGGCTTGTAATTTTAGCCTGTGGACTTGGCACAAAAATTAGAAGCAACCTTAAATACTTTTTTCTTATTATGAGCCGAGTACTTTGCTCAGAGTAGGACAGAAAATGGTATTATGACATAATGTCACTTTTTATTTTAAGTCATACATATCACTTTGTTAGGTGAACTGCTGCATGTTGAGGAAGAGTTAACAAAAACATTAGTTTGTTTTGCACAGTCAGAAGATGGCACTGACTGGATCTAACTTTCTCCAGCACGAGAGTGATTGCAGCACTTGCAGGAGCTTGGCGTGGTTTGGGAGCAGCAGCTGTGAACTTCTGTCTCGCCTTTATGTAAGACAGAGGCTTGAAAACCCCACTCAGCTCAAATTGCTGTGGGATTCAGAAATCACTGCCTTTTGCCCCTTGCCAGCGAGTCAGCCTCTGCACAGAGCAAGGCAGGAACTGTTACTTTTACACCCAGGCAAAACACAATCAGCTTCCAGCAAGACAGGTTAGTACCCATCACCCTATCAGTACCAGCTCATTGTGGATTCAGCTGTTGTGCCTGTCAGCAGACAAATGCAGGGAAAATAATTAAATCCTGTCATTTTGTCTTATTAATATGAAGTGCAGTATCTGCACTTTACTTTTTCTACTTCAAGTGCTGTGTGTAGCAACAGAAGCAAAGCCCTGGTGATTTGTCCGTTTCCAAGGATTTTAAGGAGGCTTCTAAAATACTCAGAGAAAATTGCTCAAGTCCACATCAATATATAAGCTAATATTTTAAGAAGTCAGAGTATTTATAAGCCTTATTAAATCCTATACAAAGGCTTTCTTTGGCTGCTTCATTGTTAACTTAAACCTGTTCGGAGTGCACACACCTTCAAAGAATTAATTTGTTTGAATATTGCTGATTTGGAGAGCACAAGATGTAAATAACTGGAGGAGACAGGCAAATCTTTTTACAAATTTCTAAGTGGTAGTGAGTCACACCTACTAGAAAACTCCCAATTGTTGACTTAGGTAGAGGACAGCTTGGAAAAGATGCAACCTTGTGAATAGGAGTAAGATGTTTTCCTGCACCTCCCCAGTCAGAGACTAACCCATCAACTGAAATTTGAGGATGCCTCATTTACCCCTTTCCAGTAATTTAGTCCTGTTGTTAACACAGTAAATACATTTTCTAACCTACCTGGGGATAACTGTGTCATTGCACAAGAACAATTTTTAAAACATATGTAACTTGCATACTAAGTAAAGTGCACGGTAGGGTTAGGAATTCTAAATCTGCAGCAGTAACACAAACATAACACAACACCAAGCTGCATAAAGAGTATAACTCTATAAAAAGAAAATTGCGAAGACAAGGAGTTGAGCTTTAGGAAATCCCAAATATAGGTGTGACCATTCAGTGCTAAATCATTACCACCCTTGTGTAGATACGGGCTTTACTTACACTACAAACTAGTACCTTTTTTTCCAGCAAGATTCTAGTCTCTTTCATGGCATAGATTTGTGCTACTTGAGGCAATAACATCCTCTCTGTAGATCAGAATGAGACATGATATTGGACAGTGGACTTCACAATAATTTACTGGTACCCAAGAAATTACTAGATTCAGCAATCTCAAAAAGAACATGTTTTTTCAGGCATTAACTTTTCTGCTTGTTCCCCCAAACTTCCACCCTTCTTTCTGACAAGTCATCCCTAGTTCTGACTTGTCTGTACCACAGAGCCCTTTAGATTAGTCTTACCATTTTCTCTCCAAAGCACTAATTGCCATTGTGTGCTGTGCAAGCTCTGTTCCAGGTTCCTTACTGCCAGACGTAGCTTTGTTTGGGGCTCTTTCTAGAAGAAGTAGACTCAATACTTTTCTGTAAGTCACAGCATACTTTTGGTGGGAAGGAAATACCAAAACACACCACAGCATTTACTTAACTGTCTAGTGGAATTACAATGATTACCAAACTAAGTACAAGGTGGTAAAGCAGCTATGATAACATAATACAGGTCAGAGCAATTAATTATTAACTTTAGTAAATCCAAATTCAGTGTTGCAACTCATCCCAGTGACAGTCCTATATGACTGCTTAGGGCAAGCTAAAAATCTAGACCTTGCTCCCAAGAATTACTTTCTCCCCACATAGTGTGTAATTTCCTCACCTTTCTACCTTTTTTTCTTTATGAAGTGTTTTAAGAAATAGAGAACCACAATCAAGTGTTTCCTCTGTGTTCCACGTTGAATGCCTCTGTGTTGCTAGAAAGCTACCAAACCAGGAGATGAAGAAAATAGCTACCTTTGTTTTCTGAGAAGAAAATAAGTTATCTCCTTTTCCATCTTGTCCCTATTGTAGTCAGCATTAAACAAGCTTCCAGAATACATAGGTAAACTTCAAAACTGCTAATATGTCTCATTTTAAGGTCATCATGAGACAGACATTTCTGCTGCTTTTAAAAAAATGTTTTTTTATTAGCATTTGTGTAATAACAGTTTGACATAGAAACCAGTGTTCTTGAAGACAGGGAAAACTGCTAGTTTTAAAGTATCGCTGAATTTCTGATACTGGTTTTGTGACTGACTCATTTCCCTCTAATGGTCTGAAGCAAATCCCTGGATCCAAATATAGCCCTGGGAGAAGCCCAGACTTCAGATGTGAAAGTTTTGTTGCAGCCACATCTCTGGTTTCAATTACAGGCAGAGGGGGAACCCTAATTACTGCACCCATATTTTGGCACGTAGCTAAAGGAAGGGCCGATTGTCCCAAGAAAGACTTTCTCCCCACATAATGTGTAATTTCCTCACCTTTCTACCTTCTTTCTTTATGAAGTGCTTTAAGAAACAGAGAACCACAATCAAGTGTTTCCTCTGTGTTCCACGTTGAATGCCTCTGTGTTGCTAGACACTCCCAAGAATTACTTTCTCCCCACATAGTGTGTAATTTCCTCACCTTTCTACCTTTTTTTCTTTATGAAGTGTTTTAAGAAATAGAGAACCACAATCAAGTGTTTCCTCTGTGTTCCACGTTGAATGCCTCTGTGTTGCTAGAAAGCTACCAAACCAGGAGATGAAGAAAATAGCTACCTTTGTTTTCTGAGAAGAAAATAAGTTATCTCCTTTTCCGTCTTGTCCCTATTGTAGTCAGCATTAAACAAGCTTCCAGAATACATAGGTAAACTTCAAAACTGCTAATATGTCTCATTTTAAGGTCATAATGAGACAGATATTTCTGCTGCTTTTAAAAAAATGCTTTTTTATTAGCATTTGTGTAATAACAGCTTGACATAGAAACCAGTGTTCTTGAAGACAGGGAAAACTGCTAGTTTTAAAGTATCGCTGAATTTCTGATACTGGTTTTGTGACTGACTCATTTCCCTCTAATGGTCTGAAGCAAATCCCTGGATCCAAATATAGCCCTGGGAGAAGCCCAGACTTCAGATGTGAAAGTTTTGTTGCAGCCACATCTCTGGTTTCAATTACAGGCAGAGGGGGAACCCTAATTACTGCACCCATATTTTGGCACGTAGCTAAAGGAAGGGCCGATTCCAAAAGGTTGCTTATAAAATATATATTTGTCATTTTAAGTATCACATGTACTTTCATAGGGTAAATATTTTTCCTATGCTCGGACCAAATAACAGTGAGGCACGCTGAGAAGATAGCGTGGGAAAAATACTCTCTTCCTGTGAGTCAAAGCCTATCTGTGAAACCACTCACAGCCAGCCCAGCAGGCAGCCTCACAGCACCTCATTCCCTGCTTGCCCCCTCACGTGCTCAGGCGGGAACAGCAGCCCTCGGATGTGGCTCAGCCTTGCACCCTCAGCCCTGGTCCAAAGCATGGCTTGTACCACGAGCGAAGCAACTTCGGATGGAGATACTTCCAGTTGAACCCCCAGCCTCCTTACTCCTGAGGTTGACTGCTTGTGGGCATTTTTTCTGAGGCAGAGCTAAAGATACCTCACAAATGCTAGAAACAACCTGCTGTATGTAACCACAACTCGTTTTTTAAATTGATATTTTTTTTTTTTTTGAGAAATCCTGATATTGAACTGACAGATGTGATGATACCTCAAGTGATCAGGGTACCCAGATGAGGAAGAAATTGAAACACAGGAGTGGCTGCAGTGAGGACAAGCAAAACCAAAACCAATCCAAAGTGTCTGGAAACTATTCTCGCACTTTAAAGAAATATATTTTAAATACAACATTTAATCTGCATTTGCAGTCCATGAAATTACAATACTTTCATGAAAATCATAAGAGAAGAGCTAAGAAGGAAATCTGTGTCTTCAGAACTCCTTTTCAAGAATTAAAATTTGTCCTAAAGATATGAGGTGTTCGTAACAGCAGGAGTTAAACATAAAAATTGAAGTCTTGCTAGAAGCCAATGGAATATAAATTAGAATCCACAAAAGAAGAAGTGCTGTGGATCTAGAATATAAAGTAATTGTCAATTTTTGTGCTTACTGATTCTCTCCAAATACTTACTTACGGTTTAATCTCTCAAACTTACCAATGCATATAACTTTACTCATTTAAGATGACTAACTTCGAATATCTGTCTTCAAAAATCTGTTTTCTATTTAGTTCATAGATCAAAAACATTTTTTTCAGAGCGAGGAAAGTAAAAAATAATTTTAATTATTCTCTAATAAGAGCGAGATCTAGTAACTTTTTCTCTCAGAATGTTTTTTGCTAGGTCTTTAGCTAGTATTCATGACTTAGTCAGGATTGCTGTGTCTCCTATAGTAAATGAAACAATAAACTATTTAAAATTTCCAAACTTCTCATGCATGAAGTAACCTTTAATTTAGAGAACCATGGTCTGGATTAACTGTGAAGCACCTTCAGAGATGTTAAAATGATTCCCCTATTTCTTCAAAGACGCATATCTTGCTGAGACTTGTACATGTGTGTATTCATTTAATCGAAGCTGAATGTGTGTAACTGTTTATGCAACTACCACACAGGTTTGCATAGATACCATTATTGTATTGTTTTCCCAAACATACTGGAGCATTGTAGAGTGACATAAAGCATTGATTGTAGTGTCTTATGACAATGCATGTGCTTAAATATTCCCTTTGTGTTCACAGCTTTAAATTGTAATGAACAGCAAGTTTCATAAATAATGGAGTACTAAAAGTTTCTCTGAACTCCATAGATCTCAGAGAATAGTTTGAAAACTAGGTCTGCAGAAAACATGCTTCATTAGTAGATTTCAATTGCAGAGTTTTCTGACTGAATATTTGCCAGCTGCCATTTCTGTTTACAATGTCTACAAAGTCATTTTCACACTGAAAATCACTGACAACTACCTTTCATATTTATTCATAGTTAAGGACTCATGCCAACTCCCATTGAAGTCAATAGCAGGTTTCTGGATATAGTAGGAATAGGATTAAACCTAACAGTTCTGTGACAGAAATACTGATTTGCATGTTTTCTTATTTTGAAGCAAAATATAGCCTTGGCTATTTTAATTTTGAGGCTTTGCAGGTAGGTGTGCAGATGTGATGGTAAACACAGGACTGAGGTCATTTGAAATTCTGGAAAAGTTAAATACTATGCATGGGAAGCTAATAACAGGAACTTCTAATTAGTGAAAATGGTTTATCCTGCAGTAGCGAGGTCATGTCCTTGTAATTTTTTCTGGTGGGGAAAAAATATATTGATTGAAGAGGTGTATTCAACCAGAACAGGTGGTCTAAGATGGAGCTACTGACTCTGCTTTACCTAGAGCCCATGGCAGAGAAAGCAGCTCTGAAAAGAAGGAGAAATCAGCTACTTTCCCAATTGTTCTCTTGGTATCTGCAGGGCAGGACCAGCAGCCACCTTCCTTTTTCATTAAATGCTTCCAGATGGTTTATGCTATAAAACATGTTTAAAATAAATTAAGCTGCTGATTTGGCCATGTGCACTGTAAATTACTACCTTCGGTTTTTTATTTCGCTGATTGGCCTATTCACAGCCCATCCCTTTCAAAATCAGCTATTTTAAAAAAGATTTGAGTACACAAAAGCAGTGAATCTTACCTTTGTAAAGCACAGTTCCAAAGGCTATCAGCGCATCTTGTGAGACTGAATGCTCTAGGAATACATTACAATGCCAATTTCCCTGTTGGGTATATTGCTTAGTTGCTTTCTAATAATCTTCTGGAAAATAGAGCAGATATCCATTTAAAGCAGAGAAAGCTAGGTAAATATGGTAAATATGTGAATTTATATTGTCTTTAAAAACACAGGCTTCTCTTTTTCAGTAAAATGATGAAGCAAAGTAAAAGTGAGATGTTTTGTGAAATACCGAACTTGCACATGTGGTATTAAGAGAAATTAATGTTGTTAATTAATCACAGTAAATATGCACTTAATGACTAATACTAGCCAGCTGTTAGTGTATACCACCTCTGTAGCAAAAGTAAAGATTAAATAAATCATGAGGCAGATTTTGGCTTCCTGTAGAATGTTCAATCCATGACGCTTATTATTATCTCTAGTGCAATTGCTGGAGTTACCACAGCTACTGATCTATTCAATCCTTCCGTTCCATTTATTCTACTTTTCTTTTAAGCATGTGAAAAAAATCAACTGGCACAGAGTATTTCTCAGATGACTTTTGCACAGGAAAAGTCAGCACATCCAAATGACAGCAGCAGGGAGACCGCAGGATGCAAAACTACCTCAGAGATAACTGCCGTATTCACCACATATTCTGTATGTGGAACTTCCCCTTGGCCTCAGTGGCAGTTTGATGTAAAGACTGAGGTGAAATTGTGGCCCTGCGGAAAAATAAACTGAAAATATGTATGGGTGGTTATTCATCTTTGACACTTCTATTTAAAAACAAAAGGAATATGTGGGATGGACTATGGCAGAAATCTAGGTTATTCAGATCAAAAAATGTGAGATACTTTACAAAGACACTTCTCAAGTCATTATTAAAATGTAGCTCCTTGTTTTTATAATATTTTCAGTGAAAATCAGAGCATCATTGAGGCATTGCTCATGAGGCAAAGGAAAATATGACATATGCTACTTTTCCAAACCTTCAGTAGTGCTAAATGACAGAGAAAAAATCCATCCTTATAGTTAAAAAATACCATCAAATAGTAAAAGCCTCAGTCAGTGCTGCTCCCTCAGTTACAACAGATGCATTTAGAAAGATTTAGCATGTTCCAAACCATGCATTATACCAATTCAAGTGCATTAGCTGTTGAATTGCAGCTTCTTGTAGCAATATCAAACTTGAATATTAAATCGCACAAAAATAAAAATAATGTCATTCAGCTGTTTTGAAACTCTATTGCCTACTTCTGTTCTGAATATTTCGGTGCCAGAGTTCCAGGCACAGACTGGCACAGAAACATATGCTTGCTTGAAATGCTTGGAAATTCCGTTAAAATTGACTGAATTCCGAGCCAGGCATTTCAGATTAACAGAGATTAAAGAGATTAAGAGATTTGGAGAAATGGAAATCCAAAAAACGGTTAACAAAGAACACGGTGAAGAATCTCTGATTGGATGTACCAATCACCAGCCTCTAATTTGAGGTACAAATTCAAGCTTTAAGTATGGAGATAAATTAAATGTATTTTATCCTTAAGGACTCTCCTGCTACTTTTCCCACAGACTTTTCTGACTTTCTGGGCCAGGCCCTTCGGTCTTTCTCTCATTGGGAAAGTGCTGATAATTTTTCCGTAAAACAGGGGAGATGATTTCACCAGAGGTCTTGGATTTTCTGAAAGATTAGAATCATGTGAAAAACTCTTACCAACAAATATGTTTGTCATCCAAAGTAATATGCTTCTGTGCTACAGAACCTGAACTTTGTGCATTGTATGAACCACGGGGTAATCCTCCTGGAGTTATTCTAGGTAGAGTACCTACAACTGTCCATGGTTCTTCATCTCACAACCTGAAGAATTGCTTTGACTGCAACGATGTTAACATCACAGTATTCTTACCAAAGTCTGAAAGATCAAATCTTTGCTCCATTTCTCAGATAGCATAGTTTTTCTCATTTATGGTAGCATTATTTTGCAATATCTGTTCTTCTTTATTATGTGAGAGATAAAAAGGAAAGAAGGGAAATACAGACAGAATAAAGGAGGAAGAAGGGAAAAACAGAAGTAAGTAGGGAAGGAAACCTGAAGAAGGACATGAAGATTAAAAAATCGGTCAGAAAGAAGGAAAACATAGGCAATAGAACAAACCATTTGCAAAGGCACAGACAGTTCTCTTACTGATATATTGCTTTCTCTCTACTACAAATCCACTGAAGTATGGTGGGTAATTTATGCAAATAATTTTTCTGTAATCTGACAACATAGTCTATAGAAAAATGTTGAAATTATAATGTCAAAGAGCTTTTCAGCAATATTTGAGATTTTAGGGGAACTTTTTTTTTGTGGTAGTTACAGCTTGTGTTTCAACCAACTCTGTTGGTTATATATTACTCTCTGTTGCAAAATTAAAGAAGGATACACCTTTATCATCCTGATTTGGCTGCCAAGATCCAATTTCTAGCTTCAGTGTTTTGCCTCACTAGCATCCAAATGGGAGGCAAGGAGTGACATACCTTGTTTTGCTGCATTGCGTAATGAGGTCACCCTGTGTTAATAAAGAATTGAAAACTTTATAGACTTGGACATTTCATATCTTATTTTCTAGTATTTTGTTTTAAATGGCATTGATTTGTAAGCTAAAGGCCAGATGCACATTGTTACTGATTTAATATTTCATAGTTTTACATTTGATTTTTTAAAGATATTTCACTTCTCTTTTATAATATGTCTATAAGGAACCTCTTTTCTCTCTCCATCAGGACTTCTGAAATACCAGTTGGTGCTGCACATGCATCTGAGATCCCAGGATGGAAGCACTGGGACTTACCTGGCTTCCTTGAAGGCCCTGACCTTCATTCCAGCGAGGCAGCCTGAAGCTGCGCTACTGTCAGCAATCACCAGTAACACCAAGCCAGACCTTCCTCTCACTGCAGCACCACAGAAGGTAAGGAACCTTAAGGGCACTCAGTTCTTAGTTCAAAGAGTGGTAATTTCTGCTTCAGTGCTGGGAGTCTTTGGGTTTCAGTCCTGAGGCAAAGCAAGCACAGAACATAGCTGGAGAGTTCTCCAGAGTCTAGGGCTCCAATTGAGAGCATCAGCTAAAGAGAAGTAGCAGTAGATATAGGCATGTGGAAATGACAGCTGACCAATGGACATTAAGTGCCAGTCATCCTTGAAGGCTGAAATCTGAACCCTGAAGTGGCAGGCAATGACTGCAGGATCTCAGCTGCATTGCCTTCACTGACGTAATGGGGTCATCTCAGATTTACTTAATTGAGAACCAAAACTAATATGAAATATAATTGATAACATCTTTGTCTCAACACTTCAGCCTGTGCAATGACAGATATCTCCCCAGGTATCATAACACCCACTTATCGTGTAGGAGTTGTCCCACAGCAAGGGCCCTTCAAGTACTATTTTCCACCAAAATGTGAACAACCACTCTGTATGTGCTGTTTTCTGAATCTGTAAAATGGGTATCCACCACTGCACACCTGTTTGGTTTTTTCATTATATTAAGAAACCATGTTCATTTCAAAAATGGGTACAGATAATAGGATATCTCCAACTTGCTGTGTTGCATACCGGTACTGTGAATATTTGCTCCAAACCAGCACAGAAAACAGCTCAGCTGTTTCAGAGGTGAAAGGGCAGAGAGACTGGACAGTGAACTGTGTGAGAAAACCTAAAAATGAACCAAAATCAAATTCTGTCCCTACCAAGTGCATACGTACCCAGAGGAGTACTCAATGGTTTTGAATGTCATTTAAATATTACCCTGAAAAAAAATGGTCCTTTGACTGGAAAGTTAAATTTATTGTTAACTGGGCTCTTGATCATATAACAAATAATAAGTTCTATCTCTGTGTTTATATATGTGCAAAGAAAGAGGATGCTGCATAACAAGCTCCCTCTTTTTCTAGAAATGTATGAAATTCCATGAAGAAAAGGCTGAGAGACCATGTCTACAGCTGGGGTGAAGGGAGGGAATGAGAGGCATGAGTTCCTAGAGGATATAACCAGACACCTAAGTTTAAGGATAAAGAAAGGTAGTACCTTTCTTCATCCTGGCATGAAGAATTTCCTGCCAAGATGAAGACAGTATTTTTTTAAGCCTTTTGATATTCTGGTGCATCCAGAAGCACCATGAATCTTGAGGAATGTGCACTGTCGGCAGGTAAAAAAAACAAAACGGAGACTGTGTATAGTCTTCCTTTACATGGGGTCAGAAACCTCTGACATTTCTGCTTACAGTTTAAGTGATGTTGAAAATTCAAAACTTTTGTTTTCAATATTTGTACCTGGCAAGTCCCAATGAGACAAATGCACTAACTTTACAAGTATCCTGTGACAATGAAGAAATGAAATTATCACAGTATCACAAGTGTCTTTGCAGCATATTCATCTTGTAAACCTTTGCTCTGAGTATTCAACTCTGTTTATAACAGGCATCCAAATCCCACACTGCCCATAATATATTAAACTGACAACAGGATTGCATTCCTAAGTAATGCAGCTTCTTTGCTGAAAGACAGAGTACCAAGCCAAAGTTTAGCATTGAAGATCTGGATACATTTATTAACATTTTACCAAAGATTATGAGCATTTTCCATGGTTGTAGAGTAACAGCTGGGAAAGAAAACAGTGAGGAAATGTTATATAAATACTTGAATAAACGTCCTTTTTTTTGCATATTTATTCCAGCATTAGATAGATGAGCCATTTACACTACAGTACATTACAGTAACTGCAATAAAATCTAAGTGTATTTTTTTCAAATATATCAACTCATTAGATGCTTTTCTGACACTACTACTCTCATTTCAGTTTCTTATCTTAATTTTTCCTTATTCCAGTTTATTGCTAACAAAAATTTGCCTACAACGTGGGCAGGGATGGATGTTCTTTTTTAGCTTTTGCTACATGTAAATCATAATCCTGCATTCCATCAGTACTCCTTGCCCTTCACCACTTCAAAGCCTAATTGAAAAAATACTTTTAACTTTTAATTCCCCTCTGTTGTTTAAACCTATTTTTGCTTAGAACTTGGTACTGCTTAGAACTGCAAATTATTTTCAAAGAGAAACTGGAAGGACGATATCATGAAACCACTTTATATTAATCACCAGTTTAAAACATTTTTCCTGGTATTTGCTAGTGCCAGTCTCTAACCTTATAAGAGAATAATTATTCTATCATGATGCCCACCACTATCATCTCATGCATGGTATAATTGCACACTTCAAACTTTGACTAAGCTATGACTCTGTTGGTTGTAGAATTTACCGCTGTTATGGCCAATGATTTTTTCCACATATATTTGGCTATCATGCTACATCTCTCACAGATCTGGAGCATGTGACATGCAGCGTAAGGGCAAAGCTGATCTAAGTTGATACCGATATTCAGATCAGCTGTAGATTTACAGTGTCATACTACAAATGTAGTCTCTGCCTCATGAGACTATCAAAATGTTTTGCAACCCGTGCCTAATTTGTGACTGAAAGACTGGTCTCCTCTATGCTATTTCATTGCTACCACACAACCAAATGTTTTCATCTGGGAAGGGAATTATTTCATTACCTTTTAGCATTTGTGAAGGTCACTATTCAGTCAGTGAGACTGTTCTTTGGTCAACATGTGAAAATTCTTATGGAGCCTTTGCTTAAACTTAAATACTGGTATTTAACCTTCTGTCTATTGAGTTCATCCTTGGGCAGGCTGTTCAGCAGAGAAATTGTGCCAGTGTTATCGTGCATTCTGCTTTTTCTCAAAATCTATTGCTAGGTGTATTATTTGTTTATTTTAACCTCCCAGAAGGCCTAAGTTAAGATCAGAGCCACACACAAATATACAGTAAAATATGATGTTTCACCTAAAGGTTTTGCCCTATGAACAGCTAAGACAGAAAAATGGGATATGAAAGGAAGCATTATGATGCTTTTTTTAGAAGTGGGGAAATAAGGCACGCTGGAGATCACAAAAGAAAGACTGCAGCTGAGCTAAGAAGTGAATTCAGATCTCAGAGGTGCACAAGAGTTTTTTGACAGGAGTTTAGTAGATCTAAGTGATTTTTAAAAAAAAAAAAAGGTCAAACCTTATAAAAATTTGCAGCCAGATTTTAAAAATAATTATGGGATCAAAATACATGCATATTTCTACAAGTGAAATTCAAATAGATTTTGCAGGTAGGATTCATAAAAGCATGTAGGTGCTGTAAGTAAAAGCAGGACAAGGAAGGTGTCCTCACCCTATAGCTTCGTGCCTAACACACACTGGATTTAACTTCATTCTCTCATTTCTGAAGGCTCTACAATTGCTTATAGGAAAGGCATTTCCTCTTGGCTGCTTGTATTAACGTCATGCAACCTGTTTGGGAACCTATAGCTTTAACTGCATCAAAATAAGCATTTAATTCAAACTAAAATTAATTGTAATTATTCCAATCATGATTTCCTTAAGCTTTTCAGAAAAAAAAAACAATAAACAGTTCCACATTGACCATGTGGAAGCTTTGCTAAATTTCTTAAGCCACAAGACTATCCTTCCCTTCTTATCGTTCTTCCCATGTGGAAATTCTAAAATCCTACCTCTAAACATGCTTTGTGCTTTCGATGGACTACTGGCTATATTTTCACCAAAATTTGAAGTATATCAATCCACCAAATATTTTTCTCAACATGAGGCAGGGGGTTCTGCACTCTCAGTTTGCCAGTGAAAACAGACAACTATGACGACAATTTTGGCAAAAAGAAAAAAAAAAGGAAATTTAAAGTTAGATTGATGCATGCTTTCTCCAAAGACATGGAAATTTTGCCATTTTTAGCAGTGCTATTTAAAACAGGAACTGCGATGAGTATTTTAGGCTCCAGGGTGCCTGCAGTCAGGACTAGGGAGCCTCACAGATACTAAGATAAGCAGACACCTCTCCGTATTAACAGCAGCTGGGTATATTGTCTTGTGTTTTCAAATCATAGAAATAATTATGACCTATGCAAAACCTCAATTTTTCCAAGCAACAAAATGTAAATCTTGCTGAGGTGTTCCTCCATTGCAGTCAGCCTTTTACTAATGCTCTTTCATGTGTGAAGAGTTTCTGTATTTGCCGAGGAGGGAAATCAGCTTTCCCTGAACAACTTTTGTCAGTCTCCATCTGTATCAAGCGCCAAGTGAAATGCAAGGTTAAAATGAAATTAAACACACATTTACTTTGGTGAGCATTAGAAAGGCAGTCATCACATTCCTGTCTGATATACCATACAGAAGCCTCAAAAATAACTGTGCTATTATTCATTAAAAGTGTCAAGTTTAGCAGCAACTGCTGTTATGTGGCATCACGGAAACCGTAAGTTTTACCGTACCCTTTGGAATCGATGACATTCTAGACTTACACCAGGAGGATTCCCACAAAATATATTTTCCCCAGAAGAATGATACATTTTTGTTCTGAAAGGAGAAATAATCAAAAGGATTTTAGCACATTGCCTTATAGTAAGAAATTTTTACTCACACTGAAACAATTGGATGACTTGCATGGGATATTCCCTGCAACTCTGTCATACGAATAGCTGTCTAAGGGCTAGATTCCATGACACTTGATAAAATCTTTGGAACTGGTTCCAGCCTCCTCCATGATGATGCCCACACCCTGCTTTCTAGATTACAACCCACACAATTAAAGCTCTCTTCCTGAGCCACTGCATGGCTGACCTATTTTCTATCTGGACTTAGCTGAAACAATCAATGGGCATAGCCATGCGTAAAGTGGAAGGCATAGCCAAACGGTCCCAAAGGAGGGTTTCAAACAGCTCTGTGCCCCATAGACCCATGCTGGGATGCAAGTCTTCAGGCTTTTTTCTCCTTGCCCTAGGGCAGAGAAGTGAGCTCGGCACCCAAGCGGGGACAGCATAGCATTCTGCTCACATTCAGGCACATACAT